AGCAGGAGACGTCCTCTTCAGAGCCTGGAGGCGTCCTCTTCAGAGCCTGGAGGCGTCGACCCTTGGACTGGAGGCTCGTGGAAAGGCTTTACCTGAGCCCCTTGGACGGGCAGGGCCGGAGCCGGGGCCTCTTGGACCTCATCCGTCGAAGCAGGATGCGATGCGTCCTCACGGACCACCGCCAGAGCAGGATGCGGCGCGTCCCCCGAGACCACCGCCAGGACAGGATGCGGCGCGTCCCCCGAGACCACCGCCGGGACAGGATGCGGCGCGTCCCCCGAGACCACCGCCGGGACAGGATGCGGCGCGTCCCCCGAGACCACCGCCGGGACAGGATGCGGCGCGTCCCCCGAGACCACCGCTGGGACAGGATGCGGCGGGACCTTTGGGACCACCGCTGGAGCAGGACAGATGGAGGTGGGACCCCTGCTGGACATGGATGTGGTGCGGACCCTGGGACCACCGCTGGACATGGATGCGATGCGACCCCGGGAACTACCGCTGGACCTGGACAGGCGGAGCCTCTCGGACAGGCCAAGGTGGAATCTCTGCTGGACGAGGATGTGGTGCGACCTCTGGGACCACCGCTGGACGTGGATGCGATGCAACCTCTGGAACCACTGATGGACCGGGGCAGGTGGAGCCTCTTCAAAAGGCGGAAGTAGGAACCCCACTGAGCGTGGACGCTGTGAGACTCCTGGGACCAGCGTTGGACGTGGACGCGGTGCGCCTCCTGGGACCACCACTGGACGTGGACGCGGTGCGTCTCCAGGGACCACCGCTGGACGTGGACGCGGTGCGCCTCCTGGGACCACCGCTGGACATGGACGGGACGGAGGGACTCGAGGCTTGAGAGGCGTAGCTGCAAAACCTTGCGTCTGTGAAGGCCATGAATTAGTAGAAGGTCTCCGGGACTGCCACTGTTGCGTTGTCAGGTACCCGTTGCGCAAGACGGCCGCAGCAGACCTGGATGGAGGAGTGGAACCTCTGCGTGGCTGTGGCCTGATGGCCAGCCGCGTTCCCCAGAACGGTGACGCCTGCTCCTTCTCTACTTCCATGAAGTCTAGGAGCGTGAGATACTCCATGACAGGTATGAAGGGAAAAAAAATACTCCCAAGTGCTGTGTCGGCGTAGGGTCAGAGTTTGGCCAGATTATTCTGTCAGAAACCGAGTTCAGAAGACCCGTGAAGACGCCAACACAGTAAAAATATATTTAAAAAGTCTTTATTTAAAGCAGAGGTACCTGGAGGGCAAGGCTGAGGCAGGTTCAGAGGCAGGCTAAGGTCAAAGTGGCAGGCAGAGAGCAAGGCAGGGGTCAGGCAAAAAACAAGGTCCAGAGGCAAAGATCAGGCTGGGTGGATGGCTGAAGAACTACTGGCAAGGCTGTAATAATCTGGCAGGGAACTGGTGGTTTGCTGGTGAATGTATAGTAGGGGAAGCAGGTGTGTGAGATGAGCTGATGAGTGAGGAGCAGGTGGTCAGGTTGCTGTGGAAACCAGGGCTTGGCTTGAGCTTGGTGAAGGGACCAGGTGAGCTGAATGAAGGTATAATGAGGAAGTGGAGGAGGGTGAAGGACGGGAGTCATGACAGTAGAAAACTAAAAAGCTTAAAGTGGTTCTGTTTAGACATTTTTCGTTTGTATATGTGTTTATTAAATTACATTTTAGGCAGAAATCAGCCAGAACAAGTTTGCATCGTGGGTCCTGTAATTATTCCCCCATGCGCGTGTGTGTGTGTGTGTGTGTGTGTGTGTGTGTGTGTGTTTCTTCAGGAAATTAAGCTTCTTCTCATTTGTTTAAAAGACAACAGAGCAAAGAAGCATTTTTATTAAGCTTAGAGGTGAAGAGTGAAGTTATTTACACATGACCGCAGTAGTTCATCGTGGGTTCTGCTGTTAAAATTAGTTTTACATTCAGGGATGTACACAGCTGACACGTTTTAATGAAGTTCAAATTGTTTGTGTGAAGAATATAATTTTTATCTTCTCATGTGGATAAATGTGAAAATGTGTTTATTGCCTTTTTCTCACCTGTGGTCTCTGATTTTCTCTGTAGGACCGCATGTGTCCAGGGTCAGGAGAGGCTTTACCTGGTGGTCCTCCTGGGAGAGAGGGCTTCTACTGTCATCATGTTAATGTTATTTAGCTGTTTGATATTTTAACACGTTTATTAAAACAAATACTAACTGATAACTCTTTCTGGTCGTTGGTTTTGTCACCAGTTTTATTATTACAGATGTTTTTGAACATGTTACATGAACAGAAAATGAAAAGATGGTAAGGAGACAAGATTATTTATAATACGTTACACTTATTTACAGATCAAAACCAGTATGGACCAGTTATGTACGGTTAAAGCAGGATTAACCTGAGTGACTCTTCCTGGATCATTTATTTAAACTGAGTGAGCAGGAAGTCTTTATCAGTGCAGCTGGATCTGCTGCAGGAGGATCCAGACGTGGATGGAGGGCTGGAGCAGACCCATGGCTGGACGTTTCTGGTCAGAGGAACATCATACAGGACGGTCTGCAGAGAGCTTTGGGACGCTTCCTCTCACTGTCCACTCCATCGTCCATCTACAGGGACCGCTGGGCTGGCTCAGACAACGGCTGTTACGTCTCTGTGAATGACTTGCCTGTTAACAGAAGTGGTGGTCTGCTGGTACCTCCTGCAGGACAGAGCACCACTGACCTCCTCCACACACATCTTCCTCACGCTCATCCTGCAGACCCACAACTTCACCAGCACAGAGGCAGATGTGCAGCACAGTGCATGCTGACCTGTAATAGATTAAATAAGAATTTTTTTATAGAAAAATGTAAAACAAACATATAACCTGCAGTACACTGGTTCTGTTCTGTTTAAAGAAAAGCAGCAGGGAAAACTACAGAGAATTTACATTTTTAAGACAGATCTAATCATTATTAGGCTTAAGTTGAATAAACAAATGCACACTGAAAAACACTTCAATGCTATTTCATTTAAAAGCCTGTTTTTAAAATGTTTTACCCTCATTTGATTCTAAATAAGTGGTTCTAAGGTCAAATTTACATTAGAAAACGTCCTGCTGCATTCAACATTTATAAAGCATTTGATTTATATTAATTACCTACATTTCAATACTGTGTAGTAATGAGTTGTGTACATTTAACAAGTTTATTCTGTAGTTTAAAACTTACATGAAACCATCTAAAGTTAACATGTAAGTCCTGAAAGCTTCTAGAATAAACAAAGTTACTTTACCTGAAAACGGTTGTGAACAAACGCTGCTGATGGACGTGAATTCCTGCTCGATTTTCGCTAACTTTAGCATTTTTACTTTGAGTATAGCTGCCATCATGGCTGTGATGGTACCTACGGGCCACCGTAGAGGTGAAGGCTAGACTGTCCGAATTCAGAGCCGCTAGGTTCCGGTTTTAGCGGTTGAATAAGGACCCGGCCTTGCTAGACCGGCGAGGACGTGTCCTCACAAGCATCCTGCCCCTGGATTCGGACACACCCAAATACTGGACAATTTGTGTCCATAGGCTCCAATTATAAGTTTTTGTGCCAAAGTGGGAGGTTACCACCACCACCATTTTGACCGTGTCACAGGTTCCGTCAAGCACAGACAACTCCAAAAAAGGGAAACGAGGTGGAGCTGAGAGTGGGGGCTGTAAGGCTGGGATCGAATGATGACACCCGTCGAACTGAAGCGATGTAGCTACAAGCTAACCCAAAGCTAACGCGGAGGTGGAAGCTAAGCTAATGTTGGTAGCTACCTAGCTACAACCGGAGCTAACTGTGCACAACACCGGAGCTTCTGAGTCAGAGATGCGCGGAGCTGCCACTGGGGAGAACTGGGTGGAACACATCGGTTTCCATCCGAGAGCTCCACAAGCCGGCAGCCCGCGCAGCAGACAGGCGCTGAGCTGCCGCTGAGGGGAGGGGACCATACCGATAGTCGGAACCCACCTCCACCAACATGTTATATTTCAACTCATTTTCAAAAATGCTGTGTTATGTTAAAATTACATTTAAATATCATGGTTAAACATTACATGTTAAAATCTAAGCTCAGCTAGTGCAAGAGCGGCAGTGACTTAACATACATAAATATAATTTATATTTTATTTATATGATGGAGAATAATTACAGTAATCTGGAATATTTTTATATGTTTTTATGTTTGGTGTTCTGTAAATTAGTCTCATAATTGTTAATTATTATATGATGATTCCTAATCATTATCTGATCAGTTCTATCAGTTTATTATATTTAGCTCTCTGTAACAGCATGACTGGTAGAAACTTTCCTGCATTTTGCACAAACATCACATTAAATATTTATTTTAATATTCTCAATAGAATACATGTATGTAAATGTAAGAGGTCACTATAAAACCCACTTTAGAATAGATGCACATCTGCAGCACGTTAGGACCTTGTTCAGGGGGAGTTAATTTAGTTGTCACTTTTTTCACAGACTTGGAGTTCGGAGGTATGAACAATAGATGCATGTAAACTGAAAGAAATAATTTTTGTTCTTCTATGCACGCGGTTTGCATTGTTGTACCACGTGGCTTTATGTATTTTTGCACCAGTCTTGCTCTCCCAGATGTGACGTAACCAGACATGAAGTGGAAAACAAAGAGGTGCAGTATTTAAAAACAATATATGAGTGTTTAACAGTTGATTAGTTCTTTGCGATAGAGTCTTAATTTTATTTTTAGAAGGTCTTAAAAAGTCTTGAAAAAGTCTTAAATGCAATTGTGAGATTCCTGCATCTACCCTGATCTTAAAACATATTAAAGATATCAATACCAAAAGTCAGTCACAGAAAGAGCTGAATGTTTTGATACCAACATTGTTCAAATAGCTGAAAATCTGAAGAAGCTGTCCAAAAAATGTACTGAATCGGAAACAGGAAAGCAATAGTTTGAGCACTTAACAGCATTCAAACAAATATTTGTTTCTAGTATTTGGACAAACAAAATCTTGATCTGATCTGATCCTACAATTAGGAGGTGATTGTCACCCGATACTTGAAGCGGGCTCGAAGTGAAAGCAACAGGTTCTCGATATGGCAGAAGCAGATCTCCAGCCAGGAGGGGGTGGTGTGGCAACACTGGCGAGCCCTCCGCAGGCTTTTTACCTGTGAAAGAGGAGCATGGGCCTACAGGTATCAGAGCATCTCACTGTTACATCATACCATACCATGTTCCCGTGCATATTCATAGAATTTTATGTTTTTGACATTAAGAGTTCAGCCTGAGGTGAAACTAAAGCGGTCCAGCGCTGAGACGTATTCAAAGATGCGTCTGAAACTTGTGCCCAACTATGACTACAACCCCCACAAGGAGGCCAGCGCTCTGAGGGATAATATAGGTATGAACATTAAATTTTTGTCTATATGGTGAACTTACTAACTTGGTGAACTAAATGATTCATCTATTTGATCACCAGGAGCGGAAAGCCCTCGTAGCTCTGAGCCCCTCCCTCTTGCTGTTGCTAAAGAGGCAAAAGTAAGCTACATGGATGATGATCACTTAGAAGATGAAGACCTTGTCTTCTTAGATAACAAGTAAGTCTCGATTTTACTTTTCATGTCTTTGACAAAGGGATAAACATTGAATGAATGAATCTTGTACATTCAGAGGGGAAGGAGAAGATGAGAGTCAGAAAGAAAAACTGGTTCTGTCTGAGGACTGTGAGCTCATCACCATCATGGCAGTTGTTCCGGGTCGCATGGAGGTCACTACACATCATCTGTACTTCTACGACGGCAGCAGTGAGAAAGATGAGACAGAGGAAGGTGAGAAAAATGTGGCTTTGTAAATAATACCTCTTGTTCCTTCCGAGCATCGTGTCTCAGGTGAATAATAAACGCACCTCCTGTAGGAATTGGATACGATTTCAAGAGACCTCTGTCTCAGCTCCGAGAGGTTCATCTCAGGAGATACAACCTCCGACGGTCAGCACTGGAGCTTTTCTTTATTGACCAGGCTCACTACTTCATCAACTTCAGAAAAAAGGTGATGCACATTTAAAATTTCAGATTTCTTTTTTTAAACCCTGTTTTAAAAGTGATGTGGTATGAAAGCAAAGAAAAATAGAAACATTTTTAACCACATTTCCTGGGTTTAACCACATTTATGTTTTAACTACGTACAACAAAACCTTTTTCAAGCATTTACATTTTTCTCCCTTCAGGTACGAAACAAGGTGTATTCAAGGATTCTCGGGCTGCGACCTCCAAATCTGTTTTACTTTGGCTCCCGCTCTCCACAGGAGCTTCTGAAGGCTTCTGGTCTCACTCAGGTGTTTATATCAACCACTTCTTAATACAAGTTATCTTTTTTAGAGTTGAGGTGTTTAATTGCTTCTAATCTAATGCTGATGTCAACAGAAATGGGTTTATAGAGAAATCTCCAATTTTGAGTATCTAATGCAACTCAACACCATCGCCGGACGGACATACAATGACCTGTCGCAGTATCCAGTGGTAGGCTCAAATTGGTGTTTTTTTTACCATCCAAGATGGCAGGTTGACAGGGTAAATGATGGGGGTGGGGGGTGGGGTTTGTTCTGTTTCGCTTCAGTTCCCCTGGGTTCTGTGTGACTACACTTCTACCATTCTGGATCTGGAAGATCCTTCAGTCTTCAGAGACTTGTCTAAACCCATCGGTGTGGTCAACCCTCATCATGCTCAGAATGTCAGAGAAAAGTAAGTGGATTTATTATGCTTTCAATTAGGGATTCTCAATATTGGCTTTTTTTAACCAATATCCAATCTTGTCTAACTCTTTATTTCCGATTTCAAAGACTGCCGACTGCCGAGTAGGTGTGGTGAGATTGCTGAGCTTTCCTAATATATGAATATCAGCAAAATAAGACAACATCCACCTTTTCTAAGCTTGCTTTTTTGTGGCTTAAGTAATTAGAAACCTTTGGCTTAAACCATTTTTGAGCTAGATGAAGTATTGAACATTTATTCGGTACATGAAGTGTTGGACATATTTTTTCGGCACATGTTCCAACCAGCTGGGAATCTGACAACGCCGTAAAGTTATTAACATCCAAGGAAACTGTTTGGAACAACAATGTCTATGGAGAATCTGGTCCAAGATATGGAGGAGATAAAAAAGTCCTTGAATTTCATGTCACATGAGATAACTAAAGTGGCAAAACAGCAGAGCGGCCTACAGGAGGTATTGAAAGAAGTCAAGCAACTTAAGGCTTTAATACAAGAAAAGGACAAAAAAATTGAGCTGCTTGAACGGAGGGTTGACGAGTTGGAGCAACATTCAAGGTTGGAGGATCTCTTGGTATCAGGACTTGAGATACACCGTACCTATGCACAGGCCGCAGCCTGTGACAGGGGAAAAGACATTGAAATCACTGCTACTCATTCTCCAGGTTCTCCTTCACTTGAGGATCAGGTGATCACATTTTTCAACAGCAAAGATATTGCAATATCCAGTAAAGACATTGTGGCTTGTCACTCATTGGCTCAAAAACATAGTAAAACATCAACCATTGTGATCAGGCTTGCCAGTAGAAAATGTAAAATGGAGGTGCTGAGGAATGCAAAAAAATTAAAGGGTACAAGTGTATATGTAAATGAGCATCTTACGAAAAGAAACTCAGAAATCGCAAGGCAAGCAAGGATCCTGAGAAAAGAAAAGAAGATCGATGACGCTTGGACAAGAAACTGCAAAGTACTGATAAATCTAAATGGTCCCCCGGAGCAGGCAAAAGTGATGGTCATCAGAGATATTAAAGAACTTGATCAATACCAATGACATACGTCTGCTGTGGATCACCAAGGATGAACAAGAGGAAGACAACCAACTTCACGCATGGATGATACAACAAGAAGATATACGAAGAATCTGGATTATTCAACTCTCAATACAGTAAGAACAGAAACTGGTAATTCAAGTTATGAAAATTTACAATTGCAAAGGTTTGACTACACAGAATATAAACCACAGGATATGCAGGCTGACATTGATCCAGACAACAATTTTTACACTAAAGTACAAAATCATTGTGAATACTATACTGAAGACCAGTTTGAACATAATGTCACTACGGTGGCACAGGAGTTAAGTGCTCGCCCCATAATCGGAAGGTTGCTGGTTCGAGTCCCGCTCAGTCTGTCGCTGTCGTTGTGTCCTTGGGCAAGACACTTAACCCACGTTGCCTGCTGGTGGTGGTCGGAGGGACTTGTGGCGCCAGTGCTCGGCAGCCTCGCCTCTGTCAGTGCGTCCCAGGGCAGCTGTGGCTACACCGTAGCTCATCCCCACCAGTGTGTGAATGTGTGTGTGAATGGGTGAATGACTGATTGTGTTGTAAAGCACCTTGGGGGGTTCTAGGACTCTAGAAGGCGCTATATCAAATACAGGCCATTTACCATTTACAAAAGGTAAATTATCTGTTATACATTTCAATTGTAGAAGTCTAAATTCAAATTTTGTGAAGATTATGCAATGTTTGAAGCAATCAAATAATCAATTTACTGTAATAGCAATCTCTGAGACATGGCTCCAGGAAGGGAGGATATCTATGTTTCAAATTGAAGGATATAATATGTTTTCCACAAGTAGAGATTGCCAAAAAGGTGGGGGTGTGGCTTTGTGTATTGATAAAAACTTTCAAAGTAGATTGGTGGGTGATATGACATTAGTCATGGATAACATTATGGAGTGTGTATCGGTGGAAATACAAATGGAAAAGTCTAAGAATGTGTTAGTCAGTTGTATGTATAGGAAACCAGGATCTTGTGTTGAAATGTTTAAAGAAAAAATAGTTGATATGTATGATGATATAATCAACAGAAACATGTGTTTTGTCTGTGGGGATTTGAACATTGACCTGTTGAATCCTCAAATGCAAATACAGTTTATTAATTCTGTTTAGTCTGGGACTGTATCCACTAATAACTCGGCCAACTCGAATTACAAGAACTAGTGCGACACTGATCGACAATATTTTTACAAATATTCTTGAAAATGATGTGTTAAGTGGTCTTGTAATTACCGATATGTCTGATCATTTACCGGTTTTCACAGTCGTACACAGGACAACTGTAACTACTCAAAGTGAATCTGTGGTTGTTACAAGGCTAAAAAGTCAAGAAGCAGCAAATTCATTTAAAACTGACTTAATGGAACAAAATTGGGAGGAGGTTTATGTGGAAGATGTAGATATGGCTCATGGACATTTTCTACATATTGTAACTTCTCTTTATGAAAAAAACTGCCCATTGATTTATAAGGTGGATAAGAATAAACATGCTAAAAAGCCGTGGATAACTAAGGGGATTCAGAAGGCTTGCAGGAAAAAAAATAAGCTGTATAAAGACTTTTTAAAGAAAAGAACGGAGGAAGCAGAACAGAATTACAAGATATACAAGAATAAATCAATAAGTAGTATGAGATCTAGTAAAAGAAATTATTATAGCAAATTATTGGAAGAAAATAAATCTAACATTAAAAATACGTGGCGCATATTAAATGATGTAATAAAAAAAGGGTAGTGGCACCAATAGTCTTCCAAATATTTTTCTAACAAAAGACAATCAAGAAATTTATCAGTCTAAAGAAATAGCAAATGAATTCAATAAGTATTTTACCGAAATTGGGCCAAATTTGGCAAAGGATATATCAAATACTACATTAGACGCTGATGCTGTGAGTAAAATAACAAATTTAGATAAAACCATATTTATTCAAGGCACAAATGAAAATGAAGTTATAACAGTTGTTAAAACATTTAAAAGTAAAAAGTCAGCAGATTTACATGGATTTGATATGTCTGTTGTAAAAGAAATCATTGAGATTATAGCCAAACCACTTGCACATGTTTGTAACCAGGCTCTCCAATCAGGAAGATTTCCTGAAAGGATGAAGGTTGCAAAAGTCATTCCTATCTATAAGGCTGGAGGCAAACATGACTTTTCTAATTATAGACCAATTTCTATTTTATCTCAGTTCTCCAAAATACTAGAAACAATATTTCATAAAAGATTGTATGACTTTATTGAGCATCATGATATTCTTTCTGAACAGCAATGTGGTTTTAGACGTGATCGGACAACTTCTCTGGCTGTTGTTGATCTATTGGAGAAAATATCTGTGTCATGTTCTGTGTCCCTTTGTTCTCCAGCCCTCCAGTTCCCACTCCAGGTTCTCCTTTTGTGTTTCATGGCGCCCTCATGTGTCCTTTGTCTGCGTCTTTCCCCATGTGTCTCCTAATGTTTCTCCATCCCTCTCTGGATTCCCTTTTGTGTTCTCTTAGCGCCCTCATGTGTCCTTTGTCTGCATCTCTGTTGTGTGTCTTAAGTTATAGCCACAGCCTCTTGTTCCCCAGTTCATAGTTTGTGTGTCTCAGTATGTGTATGTGTTTATGTGAGTTCTTCCCTTAGTCTTTAGGTTTAGTTTTGTATTTTACATAGTGTTAGGTTTATCTGCCCTCCACTGGTTCTCTTCCCCATCCAGATAATTGTTGTCACCTGCCTTGCCTCCAGCCTCACTCCACACACCTGCTTCCTGTTTCCCTAATTGCTCCTCCCTGTCTATATAAGCCCTCCTTGTCTCATTGTTCTTGTCGGTCCATTGTTGTTTGTCAGCATTATTAGTCCTGTCAGTCTGCTCGTTCCTCTGGTATTTTTTGACTCCCTGGATTCTTGGATTTTGGCTCCCTCCCTGTTCTTGGATTTATTCTTTATTTTGGACACATCCTACTATAAAAGGATTTTCTTTATTTCAACTCCTGCCTCGTGTCATCCTGGGTTTTGCAATTTGGGTCCTACTCTCCTAAACGTGAAAGAATGGACCGACCAACCAGGACCCAGCGGCCACAGATGTACACCTTCCACGGCGACCCGGACTCCTGTAAGACTTTTCTTCTGGACTTTGTTATGCTTCATGACACGGACACGCCAGACATTGATCTGGTAATTAACCTGGTGTTCCTCCTAAGGGGGAGAGCTCTGCAATGGGCCAGCCTATATTTTGATCAGAATCCAATTCAGGAGTTGGTGTTTTGGGACTTCGCAGAGGATCTGCTGGACGCCTGCAGCAGCCCACAGTTTCCCTCCTTCTCTGTGGATTATAATCCATCAGCAAGCGCCATATTAAGAGCTGCCTTCTCAGCATCTAAAAAGCACCACGCATCCACATCTCCGCCTGGTTCTGACAGCACCACCACTTCCTCTACGGTGGGCTGCCACCACACTTCAACTGTTCCTGCCGTCTCCATAACTCAACCTCCTATGGTCTGTGTCACCACACCTCCGCCAGTTCCAGAGAGCTCTACCACACCCTCACCTGGTCCCGACAGCACCACCACTTCCTCTCTGGTGGGCTGTATCTCATCCTCAGTGCCTGCCAGCGTCACCTCCACACCTCTGTTGACCCAAGACTCCCCACGTCGACGACGTCGCCACAGCCGCCGTCAGATCTTCTGGGGCCAAAGCAGCAACAGTTCAGGTGGCTCCTGCTCCAGCGGTGGTCCCGAGGGTCGCATTGCATCCTGCTCCAGCGGTGGTCCCGAAGGTCGCATCGCGTCCTGCTCCGGCGGTGGTCCCGAGGGTCGCATCGCGTCCTGCTCCGGCGGTGGTCCCGAGGGTCGCATCGGGTCCTGCTCCGGCGGTGGTCCCGAGGGTCGCATCGGGTCCTGCTCCGGCGGTGGTCCCGGGGGTCGCATCGCATCCTGCTC